GCTGGCATGTGGTGCTGGGGGATTGAACCGTGGTCCCTGTGCTCTGCTAAGCTTCTTCTAAGTAGGTGCTTTAGACCACTGAGCCATCTCACCAGCCCTTAAGTGTTAAATTTTAGAGACTGTCTGATCAGCAGATGAATGTTACGAAATAGATTACACACATCTCTTGCTATAACATATTACCATATCTTTTACTCAGAAGGGCTTTGTTCATTCAATTTTTTTGAGGAGGGCACATTTTGAGACAGTGTCTCACTATGTAGTTCAAGCTGGTATTGAACTCACAACAATCCTTCTGCCTCAGCCTCCTGACTGTTGGAATTAGAGGTGTGCACCAGTGCACCAGCCTATGCTGGGTATTGAATCTAGAGCTTCAAACACATCAGACAACTACTGTACTATTGACTTGAACTCCCAGCTCTGTTCAACAAATTTTTATTGAATTTCTCTAATCAGTATATGTAGTGGTCAGCCTATTCCTTGAACTTCAGTGATGAAAAGAATTGTGCAAGATGGAGTCTAGTGGTCAATTCAGAGATGTAATTTTAAAAAGTTGCCAGATACTGTGCCAAATCCATTGATAGCATATAGTGGTCCTTGTCCTAGGAAGGGGCTATGTTAGAAAAAGTTTTATGAAGAAGTGCTATGTGGAGGGAGTATTTGTTGCAGCTACCCAAAGGTCCAAGTAAAGAAGCAACATGGATCCTCTCAGTAGCCCTGCCTTAGTCTCCCAAATTCTAGGATTACAGGCGTGTGCCATCATGCTTGACTGGTTGCTGAAAGACTTTAAGCTGAGTAATAATAACCTGATAAAGATGGGCATTTCATTCATAAAGGTTACTGCTTAGTTTATTTTTATTTTTCATTTTAATGAGAAAAAAGGTAAAATGGCTGTGAGATAGTTTCAAAACAGATTAGTAGGACAGTTATATTGTGTATTGTTGTCTTTGTAGTAGTTTTGCTTAATATTTTGACTAGTGGAGTGATGGAGGGCATTGAGATTATAAGCCAGGAGCTGGGTCCACAATCTTCTTCACTTTCTCACAGTCTTTCTCATGGCAGCATGAGAGCCAAACAGATAGAGTTAGGGATGTGGGAAAGAAGATAATTAGATGATTAAATGATACATTTCTAATTTGGTCTGTTTTTGATGGCATTCTCAGGTAGAGGTCTCAGGAGGTTGAATAGGTTTGGGAATCTACTTGAGTTTGCTTATGAATCCTCTTTTTTTTGCCTTATTTTTTTTTTTTTTTTTTGTATCAGGAATTGAACTCAGGACCTTGTGCTTGCCAGGCAGGTTCTGTGCTGCTGAGCTACATCTCTGGCAAATTTTTTTTTTTGCAGTACTGTGGATTGAACTCGGGAACTTGTACTTTCCAGGCAGGTGCTTATGCCACAGAGCTATATATCCTGGCCCAATCCATTATATTTCCAAGTATCTGTGGGATGTTCTTGTGTTGTAGATGGTTGGATTATAAGTGGGAGCACCGAGTTCTAGGTTGTATATAAAAATTTAGATATATTATTGAGGCTAAATATCAGCGGACTAAAGCGCCTGCTTAGGACAGCTAGGGACTGAGGTTCAATCCTGGTACTACATGTTGTGCTAGCCCCACCCCCACAGTGGGTGTAATTCCAGCACTGGGAAGGCTGAAAGCAGGAGGATCACCGCAAGTCTAAGCTGTGTAGTGAGAACCTGCTACAACAAATACATTATAAAATAAACATCTTCCATTTATAGACTGTATTTAGCATGGAAAGAAGGAACACGTGGAATATTAGTCAGGTTCAGTTGCACACTGCTGTCAAGTACCAAAAGAAAAGGAATAAAAATTGAAAGTAATTGATCAGTATGTCAAGCCACTGCTGAGTTTTGTTTTCTGACAGTTCCAGGAGGGTCTGATGGTCCAAGTGGGGTACTGATTTGTTCTGAAAATTACATCACCTATAAGAACTTTGGTGACCAGCCAGATATCCGATGTCCAATTCCTAGGAGGCGGGTAAGGTCTTTGCAATAAGAGGAGAGATATTTATGTTTGTGAAATATTTTGAACTTTTGTAATTGTGATGTAATCTTTTAATGATTTTTAGCTTTTTTGTTTTTTAGGAAATGGGATCTCTATATGTAATTCAGAGTGGATTTTTTTTGAGACAGTCTTGTTGTGTAGTTCAGGCCGGTTTTGAATTCACTTTGTAGCCCAAGCTGGCCTCACACTGACAGTGATCTTTCTTCCTCAGTCTTCCAAGTATTGGGATTATAGCTGTGAACCACCATCAATCTCAAAACCAGAATCTTTTTAGCTAGAGAGTGCTTTCCAAGAATCAAGGAAATTGATGTGGAGCAGGTCTAGAAATAGATGGTTTGGACATCCATGAATGGATGATTGTGTCACTCATGAATGGATGTGTGTTTTATTTGTATCCTGAAATGATGTCTAAATTTCGTGTCTCTGACAGTTTTCTGTGGAGATGGTTTTTGCTGTATTGATCTGATCAGGCTGTAAAGTCGAATTATGGCTATTTCTTAGTTATCTAAGATTTATTATATTTATAATAGACCAGAACTTCTAGTTTTTTGGTCTGCAGGTTCTGTCTTGGGTCTCAAATGGCCTCTTCACTTTATTGATAAAGTATAGAAATAAACACTTGCTTCTAAGCTGTTGATTGTATGTTTGATTCTGTTAGAATGACCTAGATGACCCTGAAAGAGGAATGATTTTTGTCTGCTCTGCCACCCATAAAACCAAGTCGATGTTCTTCTTTTTGGCTCAAACTGAGCAGGGAGATATCTTCAAGATTACTTTGGAGACAGATGAAGATATGGTAAGGAGGCCATGGAATGGGATGGGGAAATGAAAAGGGGGAAAAAGAGCTATTTAGTGTTGTCTAATTTGGTAAAGGTTTCTACCCAGGACCTTGTGTATTTTGACTTCCATAGTTACACTTTTTCTGAGCTAAATCATTTGAAAATAAGTTGCAGGGCTAGGGACATAGCTCAGTGCAGTAAGTGCCTGCCTTACAAGTATAAGGTCCTGAGTGATCCCTGGTACCAAAAAAAAAAAAGAAAATAAGTTGCAGGTGTCATGACATTTATAATATGCCTTTTTGAAAATAAGGATGTTTTCTTACATAGTCACACTGCTAATGTAACATAAGGAATTTGTAGTTTCTACAGTTGAACAGCTTTCTTTTAAAAAAAAAAGTTTATAGTTTATGGTTTATAAAGCTGTTTTATGGTCATTGTTTCATTAAATAGTTCTCTGAGATGAGATGGCTAGGGCAATTAATATTTTACCTATTAAAAAGTTGGAGGGGCTGGTGAGATGGCTCAGTGGTCTAAAGCACCTATTTAGAACAAGCTTAGCAAAGCACAAGGACCGCCGTTCAATCCCCCAGCACCACATGCCAGCCAGCCCCGCCCCCTGGTGGGCTGAGCTGGCCACACACACACTAAATAAAAATTTTTAAAAAAATAAAAAGTTGGAAATGTAGAATGTCTAAAAAGTGGTTACTGTTGGGCTTGTGTATAAATACAGGTTTTCCTACTCTGGTTAACAGATACCTACTCTAGTAATTTTATGGTTTTTTGTACCAGGGATTTAATTTAGGACTTTGTGCTTGCCAGGCAGGTGCTTATGCTGCTGAGCTATCTCCCTGGCTAATAATCTTGTATATACTGCCATTACACACGCCACTGCACAAATTATTTTCAGTTGGTTACACTAGAAACTGGTACTATATGTGGTTTGTTATTCTATGCACAAACAATAATGGGACCATTTCTTAGATAATTGTTTAGATCAAGAATTGGCAAACTTGTTTTATTTATGTTTTTGGCACACTTTTTTTATGAATACCAGGTTGTAAATAATATCTAGCTTTTGCGGGCCATATAGTGTCTTAACTTCTTACGGACTGCCATTACAGCGAAGAACAGCACCAGTAGTTTGGACACACTTAGCCTATGATGAGCTGGAGTTTGTTTACTCCAGCTTCTACATTTTATTTACTACTTAGCTTATGCTGCTTCATAGAATGTTGGGCCTCTTCCATGGCCAGGCCTACCTTGCCTGGATACTAGCATATTTTCTTTTCACTCCAGGTAACTGAGATTCGGCTGAAGTATTTTGACACTGTTCCTGTTGCTGCTGCTATGTGTGTACTTAAGACAGGCTTCCTTTTTGTAGCGTCAGAATTTGGAAACCAGTGAGTACTCCTTTTGTTACCCTGATTTACTCTGGTTACTTGAAAGTTGGCAGGAGAAAGGTTTGGTTTCAAGCGTGGGGAGGTTTTCACAAGAATATTCTGAGTTTTTCAAAACAAGTTTTTTTGTTTTTTCCTGGAACCAAGGATTGAACTCAGGCCCTTGAGCGCTTGCCAGGCAAGCGCTTACTCTACTGAGCTATCTCCCTGGCCCTCTCAAAACAAGTTTTTCTCTCCTTTCTCCTTTATTCTTGTTAGCTTCCTTGACTTCAGTCAGGACCTCTGTTGAAATCTGCAAAGAAAGTCATTTGAATTTAAAACTTCCCTAGAGTTTTCTTGCACGATTCATTGAATATTCATTGTAGTTAGAGTTCTCATCAGACAAGTTAGCTTGTCTGATGGAAGTTATGTCTTCCATCCCTGTTAGAATCTTTAATGATTCCATTGCTAAATGGAAGAAATCTGAATTCTAGTTTCAAAGGCCAATATCCAAGACTCCAAATTACTTTCAGTAAGTAAAATAACATGGTCTTGTTTGCGGGTGTGTATGTGAACCACTTTTTACCAAGCTCACATTCAGTTTCCTTGTAGTTAAGATACTAAGATTCTGTGCTAATTCTGCCTTGTCTCCAGTTCTCTCATTCTTGCCAAACTTTCTTTTTTTGTCTTTTTGAGACAGGTCTCACTATGTACTTAAACTCACTTTGTAGCCTAGGCTGACCTCTTAACTCCAGCAGTCTTCTTGTCTCAGCTTCCTGACTGCTGGGGTTACAGGTGTGAGCCACCATGCCCATTCTTGTCACACATTTTATTCTCCTGGTGTTTTTGTTCCTTTTTTTTTTTGTATATATATCTCCTTTGCCTAATGTGGAGTTTGTCGTATGTTCAGGCTGGTCTTAAACTCATTTTGTAGCCCAGGGTGCCCTCAAACTGGCAGCAGTCTTCCAGCCTCAGCCTCCTGAGTGCTGGATTATGGGTGTGCCAGCATGACTGGCCTTTTTGGAACATTTTTGACCTGCCTTTAGTTGAGATGCAAGATGTGGAACCCAGGGATAGAGGGGACAGGCAACTATAGCTGGTTTCACTTTTTACCTTTAGCCTGTTACCATTTTGTTTATTTTTTATGTTTATTAGGTCTTTCTTTTTTTTTTTTTTTTGAGACAGTGTGTCACTGTATAGGCCAGTGTGGCCTTGAACTCTGGAGTGCTTCCTGCCTGAGCCTGAGTGCTGGTGTTATTAGTGTATGCTACAATGCCCAGCTTACCTATTTTGTAATATTTTATAAAGGTCATTATAGAGAAATAGGAAAGGATATACAAACACAAATATCACATATCCTTCTGTCCAAAAGGATGTGTGTGTTGTGACCTTTTTTACCTAGCAATGTATTGGTAAGTATTTCTGTGTACCAGTAAACGTAATCTGTAGCATCATTTGCTTTTTTTGTAGCATCTTTTTCCTAATAGTTCTTATTGTGGTACAATATGCATAATGTAAAACATCATTTTAGTTGTTTTTTAAAATAATGCTTGCAATGCTTTGCAACTGTTACCTTTTTTTTTTTTTTTTTAAAGCACTGGGGATTGAACTCAGCCTTGTTCTTGCCAGGCAAGCACTTATTCTGCTGAGCTATATCCCCAGCCCCAATTACTATTTTTTTTTTTTTAAAATTGTGTGTGTGTGTGTGTGTGTGGCCAGCTCAGCCCACCAGGGGGCGGGGCTGGCTGGCATGTGGTGCTGGGGGATTGAACCGCGGTCCCTGTGCTTTGCTAAGCTTGTCCTAAGTAGCTGCTTTAGACCACTGAGCCATCTCACCAGCCCCCCCCCCAATTACTATTATCTTTCAAAATTTTTTAATTACTTCAGCCAGCAACTTCATACTTGCTGTATTCTCGTTTCAGCCCCTGGTAACTTCTAATCTATTTTCTATTCCTATCTTATTTAAGTATTTCATATAAGTTGTGTCAAATGATGTGCATGCATCCTTTTTTTTTTTAATTTTTTTTTTTTAACATTTATAGTGTGTGTGTGTGTGTGTGTGTGTGTGGCCAGCTCAGCCCACCAGGGGGCGCAGCTGGCTGGCATGTGGTGCTGGGGGATCGAACCGCAGTCCCTGTGCTTTTCCAAGCTTGTTCCAAATAGGTGCTTTAGACCACTGAGCCATCTCTCCAGCCCGCATGCATCCTTATGTATGTAGGATAATACATAGCGTAGTATTTTCAAGGTCTACATTATAGTAGCCTATGTCAGAATTAAATGGCTGGTAACATTCCAATGTATGTAGGTACCATATTTGTTTATTCATCTGTTGATAGGCACTTGGGTTATTTCTGTCTTCTGTTTTTGTTCTTGAGACATGCTCTCTGTAACCTGAGGGAGTCTTTGAACTTGCTTTCCAGTCTAGGTGGCCCAGGCTGGCCTGAAAATTGTGATCTTTCTGCCTTAGTTCCTTGAGTGGTTGTATTACAGGCATGTGTCACCATGCCTGGCTATTTCAGCCCCTTGGCTATTGTGTGTACTACAGCAGGGGACATGGATGTGCAAATACGCTTGACTTCTCTTTCTCAGTTCTTTCATTTATATTCCTAGAAATGAAATTGCTGGGTCAAATGATAATTTTGTGTTTTAATTTTTTCAGGGACCATCAAACTTCTATACCAGTTTTACGTTTTACATTCTCAGCAGCAATGTATGAGGCTTCCAGTTTCTCACTATTGTTGCTAACAATGTTATTTTCCACTTTAAAAAATTATAGTAAACAAAAAAATTATAGTCATTAGCCAAGCATTGTAGCACATGCTTGTAGTCCCAGTAATTGGGAGGTTGAGGCAAGAGGATTGCCATGAGTGATAGGCCAGCCTGGGCTATATAATGAGAAAATAAGAAAATAAATTATAGCCGTTATAGATATGAGGTAGTAGAGTATCATATTGTGGTTTGATTTAGATTTTCCTTGAGCATCTTTTTATTTGCTAATTGCCCCTTGTGTATCTGGAGAATTCTTTTAAATTTCTTTGCCCATTTTGTTAATTGACCTTTTAAAAATTGATTTTTTAGCTTGGAAAAGTTCTTTCTTCTGGATAGATCCTTGTGCAATATGTTATGTGTAAATGTTTTCTCCCCATTTTGTGGGTTGTCTTTGCACTTTTTTGGTAGTGTTCTTTGATGCACTAAAGTTGTAATTTTGGGAAAGGTGCTAGGGATTGAACCCAGAGCTTCACACATGGTGAACATACATTTTGCCACTAAGTAACGTGTTCCAGGCCCCTAAAAGTTTTGAAGCATTCATGAAGTAAAA